CTTAAAATATAAAAATGCTCAATAGGGGCTGGGGATATACTTCAGTGGCATATTGTCTGCCTGGCAAGTGCAAGATCATGAGTTCAATCTCTGACACCAGAAAAAAGAAAGAAAGCAAGAGAAAGAGAAAGATGCTCAGTAACCTCAGGAAAAGATATTCAACATTGTTAGGGAAATGTAAATCAGAGTTACCATGTGATGCCGCTACACACAAAATAAAGTGGCTAAAAATTAAAAATAAACTCAAACCGACAGTACCAGGTGCCGATAAAGAGGCAGGGGACTAGAGCGCATCCTTACTGCTGGGAACATGGAATGACAGAACCATTATTCTTCTAGAGGTGACATATAGTCACCATGAAACCCAGGGGTACTACTTTCTGGTGTTTACCCAAGCGAACTAAAAACTTATGTTCATACAAAAACCTATATGCAAAGCACCTGCCTTGTAAGCAGGCGGTCGTGTCATGAGTTCGATCCCTGGTACCGATAAAAATGAAAAAGACAAAAAAAAAAGAAAACCTATATGCAAATATTTATAGCAGCTTTATTCATAGCATTGAAAATTGGAAGTGACCCAGATGTCCTACAGTGGAGAATGGCTCAGCGAACTGTAGTCCACCCAGACAATGAAATTCTGCTGAGAAATAAAAAGGAACTAACATCTAATATGCATAACAGTATGGACGAGTCTCAAACGCATGGCTTTGGTTTATATCTAGATGTCCCTCCACGCCTTGTGGCCTCACACGCAGGGCTTTTGAAAGGTGATGAAATCACGGAAGCTCCGCAGTTCAGTGTCATATGTTTGGAGGTCTCCAGTTAAAGAGGCGGAGACGGGGGCTGGCCTGGTACATGGGGCCAGGTCTGGTCGGCACATGTCACTCTAGGGTCCTCCTCTCTTGGGTGTCGGCTTCATGACTGTCATGACAAGAGCAGCTGTGCTCAGCCTGAGCCTTTCCACAGGGCCTTCCTGCCTTGGAGTTGGCTACTCATGGGCTAAAAACATGAACCAAACGTGTGGCTCCCTCTTTAAATTGTGGGTGTTGGGTACTTTGTCCCGGTGATAATAAAGTGATGAAGACGTGCCATTATGCTGCACCAATGAACACAGACTCCAGAGGTTACACTGTGTATTAACCCATTCATATGACACTCCGGAACATGAGACTGGAGAGACAGAGAACACATGGTGGCTAGCAGGGACTGGAGAGAGGCAGGGAACTGAGGACCGAGGTCACAGAGGACCGGTGACAGCCAAGCTCTGTGTCTTCATGGTGGGGGTAGGGCTGTGTAATTGTGCGTATTGGTTAAAAATCCCATAACTATTCACTAAACATGGTGCAAATCATTTAAAGTTTTTAAAAAAGAAATGACCATCAATAAAATAGTAAACAAACACAAAAGTTAAAAAAAGAACCACCTAGAAGAAGATTAATATAGCCTTGCATGTCTGTGGGTGAGGAGGAAGACCCACCCCGCAAGTGGGTGGCAGCAGCTATAGTGCTTTAACCTGCAGGGAATGAAAAAGAAGGAAAAACGAAAGCCTGCCTTTTTCTTTCTCAGTGGGACTCTGCACTTTGCCGTTGGATATTTGTCTCCAATTCCTTCAGCTTCCCGTCAAGGACTCACGCTGGACCCTGCAGGGAACTCCAGGGCTTCAGCCTTCGCCTGGATCCTCCAGCTCGGCCACACAGAGATGGCCCTTTGCATTCTTCTACACCTAACTCCATGTATATATAAATATAATTTAACTCTATTCTTCTAGGAACACTACCAGATACAGGAGCAGGACCTCAGCCCTGTGTAATGGTAGGCCAAAGATAACACTATTAATCTCATGATGATCTCAATAAATTTAGTATTAAAATATTTATACGTCTTTCTTTTCCTGAAGTGTTTTTTGGTCAGTGTTGTATAAATATAAAATGTACATGCATAATATATAGATGATTAATGTAAATTATATTTATAAAGATTATATATGTATAATTTCAACATATTACATCATTTTGTAACATTATTTTCCTGATTTTTAAAAATTATTTTGAAGGTAGTAAAATACAACAGAACAAAGCCAATTGACACAATGCAGTAAAATTGGTACAGAACTTCACAGTATTTTCCTGATTTTATTATTTCTCTGTATTTTCTTGAAGTTCACTAAGCTTCTGTGAAACAATTATTTTGGTGGCTGTTCATATATTTCTGTTTCTTTAAGGTTGGTTTCTGGTGATTTCTTTTGTTCATCTGATTGTTTTTTATTTCATGTGTTAGCATCTGCACATTTGAAGAAGCAGACTTACCCTGACCTTTGGAGACTGGCTTGCTTTAGAAAAACCCCTCAGTCAGGCCATCCAGAGCTTCTGGGCAGGCCATCTGTGGTCTAGGGGCAGGCTTGCTGCTGGAGTCCTCGGGTAGATGAGTTTGAGTCAACATTTCTGGCCCTTGGGGCTGCAGGTTTAGGCCTGGACTTGGTTCAGGCTCCACTGGGGTGCTCTGGACTTTGGAACTGTGAGAAAAGACCTAGCACCTTTATCCTTGGGGAGTAGCCTGACCTGGTGCTGAGCAGTCTCAAGGCTGAGTCTGCGGGGCTGCTCACACGCTGGGATGGCCCTGGAGCCCAAGTCCAAGAGGCCTGGTCTGGTGGTAGGGAATGCCTGGGTGGTAGGGAATTCTGTGGGAGCAGACTGGGTGTGGAAGGCCCACCCTTGGGAGGACTGTGGCCAGAGTGATATAAAAGGAAACAAGGAAAGCTGTTTGTACTGCATTGGAGGGCTGAAGAGTGTGCCAGGTGCCAGATGACCTCTGAGGTGAAAGTGAAGACTGGGCTTCCTCCGAAGAAACAGAAGTGATCCTTGTTTCCTTCTTTCCTTGTTTCCTCTGGCAATAATTCTGAGGGTGGGTCTTCCACAGCCAGAACTGTGCTGAGCCAGTGTACTTGGGTGTTACTTCCCCAGGCTGACACAATCCCAACCACCACACTTGCTCTCTTCAGGTTGTATGGAAGTAATTTTATGTGTGGAGAGTTGTTAAAATTGGCATTTCTTAGAGGAGTGCAAATTTAATCTGGATTTTTTTTGGGGGGGGGTATGGGGAATTGATAAATCTGAATTTTACTACTTCTGTCTGGGAGAATTGGCTAAATTTCTGAGCATTCATCTTGTCATTTCTATGTATCTCATAGCATTGTTGGGGTCAGGATAATTCAGTGTTGACAAAACCTTGAATGCCCCGATTGTACAAGTCTTTCAGAATCTCTTGAAGACTAACATTGTGTGCCAGGGGATAGTCCCTGGAAGCAAGAAATATTGGCATCATCCATCTTTAGTCATACAAAATAATTCAATATAACTTTATAGTCATGCCTGTCTCATTTGGAGGATCTTTTGTTTGCCCTGTTTGTTCTGTTGTAATGTCATTTGTGGATAACTAGGGTAAACATCAATGTAAGAAACTGAATTGACTTAAAAGCAAGGGAGAATAAAGGAGGGGCGGGGAAAGTTAACGTGGTGAGAAGGAACTTAATGGAGAGGGATTCTGAAATCAGGAAGATTCAGACTGATCCTGCAGAAAGGTGGAATACTGGGTTAAGGGATGTTCAAGAGAAGATTTACAGGAAGTTTTGCTTTGTGAAGTATGGGGTCATCCTCTCCATCCACGGCCCCAAGAAATCTTCAGTAAAGGTCTGTCTGTTTCATTCTTCAACACTTTGAGGTAAGTTCTGGGTTTTAAGACAGTTTGATCCACAAAGTTGAGATTGGACAGAACTCAAAAAGTGGCTCAAGCCTTTATCATTTGTTTTCTTATACTTACTTTGGTCCCTTTATCCTCATCTCCTGCCAGGTCTATACAGCTGGGAGAGGAATCTGGTGGATGCTACAGCGGGGGTGGGGGATGGTGGGAGTGAAGGTAACACTCCAATGTCTTTTGTTTCTATGCTACACCCAGGTGCTGTAAATCTAGCCAGGGTTCCTTGGCTTTTGTGAAGGCATTTTTGGGGTTTTACTTATGACCTTGAGCTTGCCAGGCAGGTGCTTTGCCCCTGAGCTATATCCCTGGCATGTGAAGGCATTTTCATGCAGAGAGAGTAACAGTGGTATATCTATGGTGGATGGGTGCTGGAAAGTCTTATTCCACCATTCTGCTGATGTCCTGTCCTAGTCATCTACAAGTACTGTCTCATCCAATTCTTTTTTTTTTTTTTTTAAGAGCAGAAATATTTATTGGAAGAAAGCTTCTGTCTGAGAGAGACAGAAGGGGTCCCAAGTGGACCAATTCTTGGAATAACCCTAAGCATTACTGTCTCCACTTTACATGAAACTGAAGCACAGGTTAGATGACCCATTGCCAAAATTAAAACTGTTAAGCATCTAAAGCCAGCTGAGCTCCAGAACACAGGATAGAGCTAGGGAGCCTGCAGCCCACATTAAACTCATTCACAACCCTTCAGGACCCTCAAGTAGCACTCAGGCAAGACAGACCGTCCTCGGACTCCACCTTCTTAGTTCATAAAATGCGGGGCCCAGGTGACCCGAAAGCTCCTTTGCCATAGCTGGCTTAGGTAACCACACCTTCTATTCATGAATACTGGGCGATGCTTTACTATCACCCACATTCTGTCCCTAATCCTTCTGCTACCCCGCTCCCTTCCTCCCTGCCACCTTGCTCAAACTGCTGCTGTGTGTCCCTCCCTGTTCATCTCTAGCGTTATCAGTTTCCACACCTGAAATGTTGAGAAAATCTAGGATTTCCACTGGAGATTCCATCTCTTCCATCCTATTGGAATTTATTTTATAAGCAGCTTTAAATAAAGAGGCATCTTAAGTTGTGGAATGTGTTAAATTTTGGCAGGAAAAATTTGGGCCTGAATTTCTTTCGATGGTCTTTCCCATCCCCGTAGGACTCAGGGCATCGTTGAACTGGCAAGAAGGCACGACAGACACCTGAGCAAAAGGTTCAGGTTCACCATGGAGGGGAATCAAGAGAACATACTCATGGCCAATAGAAATGATTTTATTTATAAAATAACTGAAATATAAACATCTCTAAATATAAACACTCTTCACAAGAGACCTTTCATCACTGCCTGTGACCACTGGCAGGGACACAGCATGAGGAGTCCACAGGTGTCTCCTGGGTCACCAGGATCTTAAGGCCAAATATGCTCTCAGAGAAGCAGGGACTGTGATTATTAATTCCTTTAAAAGACAGATTTCAGAGTTATTGTAAAACAGGCTTCATTGTTCCTGAAGATCTTAAGTACAGGAGCCCTGCTACAACCAAATTTTCTGAGGCAGATTCTAAGGGGGTAATAAATACTTTCCTGTGACCAATGTGGAGTTATCAGGCACTTTAGAATCTGTTTGGCTTTGAAAACTCTCCCTAAAGCATGGAGGTTAATGGCAAAATTGAAAATGTCATTTCCTAGCCTAGAATAAGCTACTTCTGGGACTGCTTCTCTTAACTCAAGTCACGTGGGTCATGTTTCTGCATCCACGGATGTGATTGAACGGCAGTAGTGTGAAGGAGCAAGGGATGCGGTCCTTGACCAGGTTTGACTGGTTAGGGATTAGTGTACAACTAGGACTTTTAGTGGCAGCTGGAGCTCTGATGCTGTTATTCTAGGAAAACTGTCCATTATTGAGCACACAGATGAGACATCACACAGACTGTATAAAGTAGAGGTGAATGTCAGGGTAGATGATTGTATCTAAAAAGGAAAGAGAAACTTTCAGATAAAAATCAGAAAAAAACTTTCAGAAAATAAATACCCTAACTACTTCTTAGCAGAAGCAAACAGCTGAATTTTCTATAACCAGACCAGAAATACAATGAAATAAAAAAGATCAGTATTTTAGAGTCCTTAGAAATTAGGTGTGAGAAAAGAAAAAAAGAAAAGAAAAAAAAAAAAAGACTAGAGGTATCTCAGAAGCTTTGAAATACTAGGTTGGGGTGCCATCCTAGCAAAAATGTGACCTGCCTGAGTCCCCATGGGAACCCCATTCAAGTCAGTTTCTGATCAGTGGCTCATGAAGCATGGGGCCACCCCAGACACAGTATAATACAAACAACGCTAGCCCGGCTTCCTGCAGACACAGAATATTGGTGCTCTGATTGGAACTTTCTCATTTCCAAAGGCGACCCAGCACTTGCCTTTCGTCTCCTGGTCACTGAATCATTTGTAAGCCCCAGGGTCCACTTCAAATTCTTGAAATTCTAGCAAGCATCAAGATTTATAACCCAATGGGGAAGAACAAAACTTTTCTTGCTCTCCACCAGACATGTTAAGCAGCGCAGCCAGGCCTGGGGCTTAAGACCAGGTGCCGGTCAGCAGCGCACCAGAACCTTTCAGCTGGCTGAGAGCAAAGGCAGCAGTGGAGCAGGGCACAACAGGCTCAGGTGTACTCAGTTTTGCGGATATAATTGGATGGGACATAGCCCTTCTTCCCATTAACTTCGGCTAACCACCACTCTGTATTGCCGGTGACATCTTTAAACTCGAGGATCTTGAGTCTCTGATTGGCTGACACGCTCAGTTCGTTTGGGTTTCGTGCTTTGAAGGTGTAAACAGCAAAATATACCTGTGTGAGGGAGAGAGGGAGAGTTAGGAAGCTGCCTGGAGCAGTGCTGTCCAATAAAACTTTCTGTGGTGATGTGAATGTTCTGTCTGGACTGTCTTGAGCACCTGAAATATAGCTAGTAACCCGAGAACTGAAAGTTTAATCTTATTTATTTATTTTTATTTTATTATTTTTTAAAAATCTTATTTATTTTTAACTAAAGTTTAAATAGCTATACATGGCTGCAGGACTCATGAGGTTCAAAGAAAACCAAATTTCACACCTTTTATTCTTTCAAAAATGCCTGGAAGCCTCAGTCAATATGGAAGATGACTGATCTATGAGGGTTCCCTCCTGTTCCCAAATCCTATATCCCATCCAGAAATGCAGAATTAGAGCTGCAGGTGGGTGGTAGCTCAACACAGAATACTTGCCTAGGCAAACCCAAGGTGAGAAGGGGGGGGGGAGTAGAGGGGGAGGAAAAGAGAGGGAGAAGGAGGGGAAGGGAAGGGAGAGCTGGTGGGAGGAAGGAGGGTAGGAAGGAGACATGTAACTGAGTTTTTAAAACCCCCTAAAATAATAATTAATTTCAAAGCAAGAAATGAAGATCTTTAGGTCCCCCAAATGAAGCAAAGGTCCATTTGCCCCGTCCATGTGTCTAGGAAACCTGTTAGGGGTCCGGAACTGGGAAACCTGCCCTGAGGGAGAGGCACACACACAACCATCAAAGTGAGCACACCCAGCTGTGGCACTACGAAGTATGCTGTGGAAAGTGTGAGCTGAGAAGCTTAGGTGAAAAGCCACCGGATTTCAGAGTCCGGCAGGAGCAGCACCTCCGTGACCTAGGGTGTGGCAGTGTCCCTCAGCAAAGGCAGCTCCTGCTGAAGATGACACATCGCACAACGCAACATTCGAGCCCTGATGACCAAGCGGTACAGCAGAGACTCCTTCAGCTGTGACTCTTAAAATGATTTTAAAATCTGGGTATGGTAGAGCCTGGGTAATCCCACCTAGTCAGGAGGCTGAGGCAGGAGGTCTGAAAATTTCAGAGCAGCCTAGGCAACTTGGGAAAAAAGTGGGGGAAGGTGGCTGGGGAAGGCACTCAGTGGCAGAACACTTGCCCAACCCGCATGAAGCCCTGGGCTCAATCCCCAGTATCACAAAACAAAACAAGGTGGGTTTAAAATGTGCATAAAGTTTATACTCGAATTCATAAGACAGGAGCAAGCCATTAAAAAAAGAACTGGAGAAACTGAAGTAGCACCAAACAAATTTCATTTCTAAATTCTAGAAATATAAATATAGATATTTTAATAAAAACTAAATAGGTGACAAATAATTTAGTGATGGGAGGAGTGGGAAAATTTCATCATGGTACCTTTTAAATCCCACTGACCAGAGATGCTCAGCGTGACGGCAAGAGCTTCCTGCACAGGGCCTGGCAAGCCTCTGCCTCGCTGCTCCTGCACCCTCAGCACCCCTCCTGCCCCCTGGACCACCACAGTTAAGCCAGGAGTGTACTTACCTGGCTGCCTTCTGCTTCGCTGATTTCTAGCTCTTCATTTTTGTCTGCCAGAGCCTGGGCCGCTGTTGCACATCCTTTTGTGAGGTCTTTACCTTGTCCATTTCTCCCTGGTACACAGTAACCAACCTCTGGATGCTTGGTGCTTCTGGTGCAGCCCCTTATGCTGTTGGCATCTACAGAATCCCCCAGTCTGGGCTGGAAGGCAGAGTTTGGGTCTGATGAGAACCTGGAAGACCCACTCTCAGGACTACCCAGGTTCGATGATGTACCAGGAGTTCCTTGGTCATACTCTTTCAGTGAAGGTGCATCTTGAGGCTGCTTTGGACAAGTAGCTGAGGTAAAGGACACAGCCATGCTGCTGGGGTTGAAAGTCAAGGTGCTGCTGCTGTTCTGCCGAAGGAACCTGGGGGAGGAGCTGCTGTGCTCTGACTCAGTGGAGGAGTGGCTGCCCACAGAGGCGTCCGAGTGGCTGTGGCGTGGATTGTAGGGCTTTAGGAAGGAGCTGTACACGAAGCCTTTGGTGACTGCAGAAGGAAATAATGATGTCAAGAGCTTGTAGCACATGGAGGAGAAGTGAAAGTCAGAGAATCAACAGAAAAATGACGGTTTGAGAGGCAGATCAGCGGTGAGAGACAAACTGATACTTGTTTGGAAATGGGCAGACACAGAAAACTTAATACGAAGTCCAGACACTGGCTAAGAAGAAACTCAGCCAAGTATATGTTCAAACATACTTCGTGCAGCGGAGAGATGTGAAGGCTCTCCCTGTGCTGAGGAGCCCCTCAGACGGACACCCTGCCTCCCTGCCTCCCTCCCGTAGCACCACAAGCCGCTGGGTAAGGAGAAGTGGAACACGGGGAGCAGCCTGATGCAGAAAGCTGGTCCACGAGTCCAGGATAGACGGGACACACACGGCACATGCTCACTGGTACAGCTCCCTTAGATGACGACAGAAGCCCTCGGCGACAACTTCAGACCATATATTAGGAACTGAGAGGGTATCATAAGACTTTTATTACATGAAGAGAAATCTGCCTAAGAATAAACCCTGATTATATGGCCTCCATGGGAACAACGTCCTCTTTTGGAGTTAAATTTAATATTACATTAGTTTTATTGTATCTATGTTTGCTTCTAGTCCCAGGATTCTGTTATTGAAGGAATTCACGGTCTCCAGAACTGAGGGACTCTCCCAGGTCCTCTGCATGGTGGGCTATGTTTGGATTTAACAAGAGCATAATGTCATGTTTACAGGAAAAGGACTGGATTTGAGTCCCTACTCCATTTTTGAAATTTTATTGTTTTAATATATTAATTGAATCAGGGTAGTTGGTATTTCTATCCCCTCATCTTTTTTTATGCTTGGAGCTTTCAACCTCTTCTAGTTCTCATAAAATACATCAGGCCATTCTCCTGTGCTGCAGAAGGTAGAATTTACTTACTATATTTAGGTACCTATATCCAAACTCAACCTCACTTGGTCTCTGCTGTGCTTCTGGTATCTGACACAAATGCTGGCTTGCAGGACTTTCCCTCAGTATCTGAACAGATGGACAGGGCCCGCTGATGCACATGGAAAGGGGTACAGGGCCCAAAAGCTGTTGTAATACTTGGCTTCTTGCTTCTCAGGATTGAGTGAAGTCCTGAAGATAAAAGTCCCGAAGACACAGCACCTCCTTACATGACTTGGAATTTTATGGAGTCTATCAGTTTGAGCCTATCAATGCCTGCCACCTGCCATCTGCTTGTCTCCCTGACACGATCTTTCCTTTCCCATTATAGTCTTTGTTATTTAAAATAAGCAGAAGTGAGGAAAAGTAAAAAGTAACGCAAAACCAAATGTTTCTAAGGAACTGAAAAAAGTGGTAACTTTCTGTTCCAGTTGGTGTCCACAGAGTCCCCAATTACTTACCTAAAACACTTAGATCAGATACGTTTTGGAGTTCATTTTTAAATTTTTATTTATTTATTTATTTTTTGATTTGAGGAAAGTGACAAATTATATATGTTTCCTAACACCCTTCACCAGGCTCTGGGTCAGCATACCATGATCAAACTTCATACAGCAAAATGCATGACTATTAATACCCCAAAAAAGGTAAGTCATGATACAAATGGTGTTACATTGCGTAGTTCAAATGTTGGTCAAAAGACCTAAAAATAATTTTTGTAAATGCCTTTTGGATTTTGGAACTGTAGAAAAAAGATTTTAGTTTAATATTACTTTTTATATTTTTCTTTAAATTCTGTAAACCTCACCTAGCCTAGAAGCTGAGAGCTGGTTTTTAAAGACATTTCCTAAGTGGTCATGAGGTAAAATAGTTTGATACAGAGGAAAAAATAATACAAACAAAATCTGTAAGTTTTAAAATTCATATACATAGGAGACAACTATATAGAAAACTAGTGCAACCTTATTTTGTGGCTCACTCAGAATGGGTTGAGAAGAAACGGGCTTCCATTAGCAGTATTTGCTGCCTGGATAAGCTATAACACATGGCAAGATCTTACAAGGTAAGTAACAGAATCTTCTATGGAATTTATTAAAACAAAAACATAAATAAAAAAAGATAAAAAGAAAAACATAACACAACCTAAATGGGTTCTATTTCCATAATGCTGTGGACATTACACTCTCTGAAGAGGGATACAACTTTTAGAGTTATTTTTCCCTTTAAACAAAGGCTCTCATGTCTTTTTTCTTCATGTTTTCCCCGTTCAGAGTTACATTCACCTAACAGCTAAAATTCTTACCTCCATTGTCAATCAGCCAGCGATTCTGACTGCCCATGGGGTCTTTCTTTTTGATCACACCCACCAGGTCACCTTCTAAAAGTGAGACATCCAAGTCCTGGGCAGCATTGAAATTCCGTTCTGCTTGGAAGAGTTTATCAGGGGGATACCGTGCCAGCAGCGAGGCCCGTAGCTCTTCAGACTGCAGCATGTAACTCGGCTGAAAGGTAGCAAAGAAAACACCATCAGCAAGAACTCTGTCAAGCCCCATAGCCCCGCAGCTGCTCGCTAGGTCACTGGTATTTAGTCCTGGCTTAATCAGAGTCTCAGCAGTAAGGCACTGCCAGCAACTCTGCCCCTCAGACACTTTTGTGAGTTATCTGTTTAGCTAGGTAGAAATCATGGTAACCTCAGCAATGTGCTTTTATAGCTAAAAAAATACTTAACATAAACTTTTCATGACACAACTGTGATTAAAATGATACCTAAAGAATCAAACTACTGGGGCTGGGTTGGGGCATGTGCATAAGGCCCTAGACTCAATCCCTGGCATCAAAATAAAAAAAAAAATAAAAAATAAAAACATCTAAGTAATATTACTGAGCACTATTCTTCTTTCATGGGGTTTGAATACAGGTTTTCCCACTGAGTTATATCCCTAGCCCAGTACTTTTTAAAATTTCAAACAGGACCTCACTAACTTGGCCGACTAGGCTCAAACTTGTGATCTCCCTGCCTCAGTGTCCCAGAGTCCTGGGAGTATAGGGCTATGCCACAGCACTCATCTCACTGCATCTTACATTTTTCTAGATGCACCTAAACAATTAAGGCATTTTCTATCCTGACTTTCCTATTTATAAAAAGTCTTCATAAAAATAAGAAAAAGGTAGTCATTTTGGCATTTCTTTCTAAAGTAATATAAATGTCTATGGTATCACATGGACCAAAATAAGCAAAGACATATTAGCAAGTTTTATTATGAACTCATATACTCTGTTGTATTTTATCCTGATTTTTAAAGTATGGAAAACTGACTGAGTGTGGTGGTACACACCTGTAATCCCAGCACTTGGAAGGCTGAGGCAGGAAGATTGCCACAACTTCAAGGCCAGTCTGGGTTACAAAATGACTCTAAGGCCAGCCTGAACTACACAGTGAGACCCTGCCTCAGAAAAAAAAAAAGGTATGCAGGAACTGAGTTCAAAAAGAAAATAATTCCAAATTTTAAAAAACGCAGTCAATGATAAACTAGCTCTATTAACTTTCCTAATACACAATAAAAAATATTAATATACCCTTAAATCAGTTTCCTTAATTAAATAACCCATGAATTAATATTAGTACTTTACTAAGATTCAAGAATAATTTCAGAGGGCAGCCTGAAGTTTCTATCAGGCTAAGAAAATTGCAGGCAGTCCCTGTGGGGCGCCAGTAAGCACACAGTGACACTCGGGAAGAGCGGGGCACTGGGAGCCTGTGACGATCTGACCCAGTAACCCCACTGGTAACATTGGCTTGCCCAGTGCTTACTATGTGGCTAGTGGTTTCTCGGTGCCTTCCAAACTTTAACTCATGAAAGCTTTTTAATTACTCTGGGATGTAGGTAAAATTATCTGCGTTGTAGAGAGGAGGAACCAAGCTCCAGACATGAAGTGAGGTACTCAAAATACAGTGTGCTAAGCGTCTGCCCTGGGGCCTGAACCCAGATGGTCCAGCTCAGAGGCACACACTCTCAACCCTCAGGCCCTGCTCACCAGGCCCAGGAACGACTTCCGTGCAGACTGCCGGTCTGTGGTTTTCCTCTCAAACGGCTTCTTGGTAGCTGGAAGGGACTCAGGGAAGAAAGTGAAGACCTGGAGTTGCTGCAGAACTCTGCTGTGTTCTTCATGGAAGATGGCGATCAGGTTTCCATCTCTGCCAGTAACTTCGAGTAACTGGAGTCCAGGGGAAGAGCCAAGATGGAGGCAAAAAGAAAAAAGTTGATGATGAAAGATTCCTGGGACTGACAAAGTCTCCTAGAACCAACTGGAAGCTAAATCTCAACAGCAGTGGCCCTGTACCAGCTACCAATGCTGCAGCTGCTGCAGGAGGAGAGGAGCTCTTGGGGACACTGCCACAGGCTACAAGGGCTGGTTCTTCTGTGAACTGTGCGAGATGGAAAAAGACATTGAAGATGCCCAGGTTTCCTGCCACCATCAAGGATCTCTCTATTTTGGCTAAGTTCTCACACAACCCTACTGTGGCCCTAGAAAAAGATCAGGGAGAACCTCAGAGACGACTCCTCCGAAGCAGTGAGCAACTTACCGAGAGCAGCGGCTGCAGCTGTTCCAGTGCCTGCTGCACGAAGTCGCAGTGGGCTTCGGCATAGCCGTGGATGCAGTTGGCGAAGAGGCCCTGCGCGTACTGCTGAAACTTGGGCAGCTCATCCAGCAGCTGTGCATTCAGGGCCTCATAGTTGTTCCGGGCTGACTGCAGCTCCTCTAAGGTTTTCTTGTCCTTCAACTTCTCTGCTCGTTCTGTGCAGTTGTAGAAGTCCAGAAGCTTGTCAAAACGCTTCTGCACCAGCTTGTGGGGGCCTGTAAACATGCTCAGTAACTGATTCAAAGGCGAGATGACGAGCCGTTCTGTCCTCTCTTTCTACAGGAATGAGAAAGCCACATTGGACAGCTGGTCAGCATCTCATGCGTGAGTCTCCAATACCCTTGCAAACCTACTTTGGTTGGCTGGTACCAACTGCTTTGCTCCTAGTGCACAAGCTGGCCCCATGTAGGGCCACAGACACACTCTACTGACATCCAAAAAGAGCTCTGCATAGATTTCATGCATTCACGCACTAAAGCGTTTGCAAAATATACTAATCCTTCTTTATCTTCTCAGTTGATAAATGCTAAATTATACATGGATATGTTTATGTTAAAAACCAGATGTGACAGTCTTGGTAACACTTATTTACATTAGCTTGATTTGTGTGTGTGCGCGTGTGCGCGCGCAGTGCTTGGAATTAGACCCAGGGTCTTGTGCCAGCACTTCATCATTAAGCATTCCCCAGCCCTGTGTAGCTTGATTTAACTCAGATTTAGTAGTTGTATAAATCTGGAGTGAAACACCTTTCACTGACCTATAATATAATGTTTCTAATCATAACTTGGTAAGATTTGTTTTCACTTTTCAAAAAAACAACTCTTTTACTCTTTTAAGAACAGATAAGCCAGACTTGACAGCACATGACTGTAATCACAGCATTTGGTCAGCTGGGCAAGAGGATCAAAGAGTTTAAGGTCAATGTGGGCTACATAGTGAGAGCCTGTCTCAAAAACAAAAACAAGCCAGAGCAGGGTTTTGAGCATATGCTTAAGTACTTAGTAACATTTCATTCTGTTTTTGGGATGGTCTCATTGTTGTTTAGGCTAGATTTGAATTCACTATGCAACCTAGACTGGTCTTGATCCTACAGCAATTTTCCTGCCTCAGACTTCGAAGCTTAGTAGCATCTAAATAAAAAGAACATGTAAAAGTCCCCCTAAGAGTATATATTTGCTTTGACCTTGAGTCATACAGGGGTATCTAAGAAACTGTCACATTCCATTTAATTCTATTTGCAATTAAACAATCCCATATGTAACTATCCAGAAATTCCCAACCAATTTGTCCTTTAGTACTTTCTATATAAAGTAGTTTGTACTTTATAAAAATCTACCTTAAAAAATCTACTTTAAAAATATTTAGGAAAATATGAGCATTATCGATAGTGATGCCAGATTAATTTTCTAGTTTTCTCTCCCTACTCTATCCTCTGAAACTAAGTTGATTATAAACTATAAAAATAATCCAATGAATACTTTTGGGCTGTACCTGTCCCGTTATCTGAAGGTCATGTTCTGAATATAAACCTGGACACAAACGTAACTAAAGGACACACTATGCTTCCACTCCCTGCAGAATTAACTTCTGCATGAGCTGCCATTAGAGGTGGCCCTGGGAAGGGGCCCCGCTATGAAAAGTGAGCTGACAGAGAGCCACTTACGAACTTGGTGAAGAGCTGGTCACTAATGTAACGGTGCACCTTTTCAAACTGCTCCAGGTCCCGGTGTCCCCTCTCCATACACAGATCCCACATGCTCGAAGCAGCCACCACTTTCACACACGCTGACTCCTGAAGCAGATTAGAGACAAGTGAGTAAGAACACAGAGCTGGACTTCATTTAACCATGGAGCAATCTGCAAAAAAAAAGGTTCTATCACACAAATTTTCCTCTCTGGAATAATCTTACAGCTTTGAAATAAGAATACTCTTCTAAACTGATATGTGAGGCAAAGAGAAAGGCTAAGAATTTTAGTTACAGAAAAACTGTGAAGGGCTTTTATAATCTTATTAGCATTTCTCTGTGCCTCCTATAAAAGAGGGTTTCTCAATTTACCGAAAAATAAATCAAATTAAAACCAAGATTCCTGCAAGATGACGATGACCAATCAATCACCTTCCCTTCTTAAGTCTTGGCTCTTGCTGTTACCTTCTCAAGGACAACCTCAGCCTCTCTGACAATGAGTCCCGCTTCCTCGGTCTGACTCTGGCTTTTCTGAGGCTCTTGCCCTGCTCTGCTCCTTCTACCATTGCAAAAGCTACCTTCTAGCAGAGGACACCTTGCTGGTTCTTATTTATTGCCCCTGTCTCCCTTCCAAAGCCCCAGGAAAATGAGCTCCAGGAGGGCAGAGATTTGCATTGCGTCACTGACCCAATGATTGCTTGCTGAATAAATGAACAACTGGATAGGAAATACCTCCCGGCTGGTTGTGACTGTTTTGAGTCCAGGCTGGTTTTCTTTGGCTACCTGACACAATGCTGGGCTTTTGCCTTGTTTAAGCATAGGAAATGCCTATTATATTGGTATCCAATCCAATCTAATCTAAATGTACTAAAAACCCCACTGGCATATTTCAAGAGTAAATAAAAATCCCTCAATAAAAACCATCAGTGGTTTTACAAGATACATTAGATCTTTTGACTTTTAGGCCCCTGTATTTGTACAAATAAAGTCTATGCTTTTTCAGAACGATAACTAGACTAATTTTTCTTGAGTGGAAAGCTGATATGATGCCCTCTTATTTTCTTTTACAGAAATATTGTGACATTCCAAAATATTGGCCCATATACTAGTGAAGATATCAAATTATATGGCCAGTAAACCTCTAGTTTTGTTCTTGCTTACTCTCTCTCACTCATCTAAAGTTGTTATTTAACAGGGCTTTTCATTTTATGCCTGTGACAAAATTGTTCTATTTTCTCTCAGATTTTACTATCAGTGGTCAGAATCAAATTGACCTATTTATCAAATAATTATCAATGTTACATACATCCCACTTTAAGTCCCATCATGGCTGTGGAGAACAGCCTTCCAACTGGAGTATTAAGGTGTATGTTTCCTATACATCCAGAAAGTATGGAGAGGAAACCGCCACACAGGGATCTAAGAATCAGGAAACGCCTGAGAACAGAACAGGGGAACTTACCTGGCAGCCTCCCCAGGACCTTTTGGTCAAATTTCTCATTTTAAACTAATATATTCCAGAAAAGTTTTGTAAACCCTATTTTCTACCTAATTACATTTTTAAAATATGAAAGAAGGGAGTTTGTTTTTTATAAGAAATGTTAAGGGCATTTTAAACCAGTGAGGATTAGTCAATAAATGATAACAAACTAGAAAAGGACACTTACGTTGCAACCTCAAATCTTGTATACTGAATTCCAGCTAAATAAACAATTTAAACTTAAAGCAATGGAACAATGAAAGAATGGGAGAATGTTTTATCTTACAGTAGGAAAGACTTTTCCATGTATGACACAAAACCAAGAAGCCATTTTTTAAAAAGTTTAAATACAGGGCACAAAAATTAGACTTTTCTTTATAGAGAAAACACTTTAAGCAAACTGAGAAGTCACTTGGAGGAAATATTTGTGAACCATCATGTCTACAAGATAGATAACTATACTACTAATCGCTGTTAGTTCATCAAAAAGAATAGTTTGTGCTATCATTGTTTGATCATTTTTTCATGCCTACAACTTGTAACTTGAGTAACTTCATCTAAAATAACAATATGCGATGTATTAGTGTTACTTTCCTACTATTTTTTTAAAAATTCTATAGCATTTCTTTTTATTTTCTTTTTAAAATAAAAAAGGCTATTTTTGTATACAGAAGCCCTACAAATCATTATGAAAAAGACCAACAAGCTGCAGATGGTGGTGTACACCTGTAATCCCAACACTTGGGAGGTTGAGGCAGGAGGAGAACTGCCGTGAGTTTGAGACCAATCTGAGCTACATTAATGAATTCAAGGCCAGCCTGCATTACATAGAGACCTTATATCAAAAAACAAACAACGAACAAAAAACCTGATAAATCTACAGATAAGTGTGCTGAGTCACAGGAAGAAAAATGTAATAAACATATAGAAATAGCCTCAATTTCATTCACAAGAAATATAATTTAAATCATACTGAAATTGTTTTTATCCATCTCGCACTGTGTGTTGGTAAAGGATGTTCTAGTGGGAATTTTCACCTTTCTAATACCTATAAAACTTAACACTTATCTATTCAAACTGCCATACGATTTGATTCAATAAAATCTAGTCCTTGCACAATACAAAGCTAAATCTTGGAAGCAGCCTGTAGCATGAACAGATGAAGAAAGTGTGGTATTTATACACAATGGAATAGTAGTCCTCCACAGAGAGAAAAACTTGAGTCACCTGAGGGAAAATGAACGTAACTTGAGACAGTAATGTTAAGTGAAATCAGAAACACAAGCTTCAATGCTGCATAGTTTCCCGGAGATGGGAAACCCAAAGTATAAATTGTCTGCAGAGCAAAATAAAAGACAGATAATAGCAAACAGGAAGACAAATCTTTTGTAAACAGAAAGGGGACCAAGAGATGAGAGAAAGGGAGGGAGGAGTGGGGGAAGTAAATTTAAAAAATTAAGATGTATTATGTACATGTACCAACTCCCCATAATGAATGTAATCATTATGTACTACAAACATGTACTAATTGAAAAGAGAAAACAAACAAATCCAAGAAGAAAATACAGTGCCCTAGACATAGTCTCAGAGATCAGAAACTGATATACTTTTAAGGATATTCCTTGATACTTCTTCTAATCTTTTGCAACTATAATTTAAATGCATGTCAACAGGGGACTAGTGAATACATGCTGGCACATCATGTAATTAAACATTATGCAGTTGTAGAGAGGCTGGCGCATTTCTTTGTGTAAGACTATGAGATCACTTCCAAAATGTGATTAAGCACAAACCCAAGACACTGTAGAGGGTCGCTCCTCCCCTCCCCACCTGCACCCCTACCTCTACCAAGTCGGGGAGCTGACAGGAGACAAGGACTTGAAAGGTGGAAGTTGCCTCTGAGAAGGTGACCAGGCAACACAACAGGAGGAAGAATTATTTTTACTCTTTACTTATCCTTGGTATTTTAAATTTTGCACCACTGTACTTAAAGATTTTTTAAAAAGTGAAGGATTTCTTAAAGAAAACTATTTGTTTTATAAGACTAGATTGATTGACTGATTGATTTTTTGTCCTTTTGAGACAGGGTCTCGCTGTGCAGTCAGGCTGCCTTGAGCTCACTTTGTAGCCCAGGGTGGTCTTGAATTCACAATGATCCTTCTGCCTTGGCCTCCCAAATGCTGGGATTACGGGTGTACACCACCACATCTGGCTTTAAGAGCCGATTTTCATGTGCGAGGAATGGGGATGTAAACTCAAAATGTATACAGACTTCATAGCACTTAATCAGTAGAGAACCTAGAGCTAAGAATAGAAAGAACTCCAGTTCTGGTTCCCACTGCCCAAGGCTGATCAGATCCCCCAGCCTCCCCACCTGAAGCTGCTTATTGTTCCAGCTTTAGAGGTTTGATGTGTAACAACTTCATGAGCTACAAGTTAAAATGATCAGACACCCGCATCGGAAACATTCTCACTCTCATCTAGGGCTCCTCCTTTTGCTTGCCTATTTCTTTCTCTAGTTTTGTTCCCCCTACATTCAGCATCAGATCTTCAAGATATTTTGGCAAAATGAATAGTGACAGGTGCTTCTTAAATAACTGGAAATAAAGAGACAGTTGAGAGAATGTACATGGGGGTGGTGGGAAGGTGGTGAAAACTGAAAGAAAAAGAGCTACGGCCCTGTAAAATCAGAGCACTGATCTCCAAATGTTGGTTACCTTCTAAGTTATCTATAGGATTCTCAATAAAAGCATCATGTATGTATCATATCTTGACCACTTTCTGTCTTGTTACTTTTCTTGTTGCTGAGACAAAATACATGACACCCAAAGTTAAAGGAGGAAAGGTTCATTTCAGCTGAGTTTGTAGAGGTTTCAGTTCATAGGTGACCGGCTCCAAGCCGGAGTAGCACGGCAAAGGGGCACTGTAGAGGCCAAACAGCCCGCAGCAGGCAGAAAGAAGGGAGACAGCAGAGACTCAAAGCAGTGAGGAGGAAGAGCAGCAGCAGCCTCTCCATCTTACCCCTTCCAGGCTGCCTGCCCTCTGGGTGATGCCACCCACACAGGGTGAGCCTTCTCAGTATGCACACCCAGAACTATGCCAACCAATCAGCGGACTAACTCAGTAATCACAGACCCTTACACTCAGCATCACACACTCTAGATCTGGCCACTTCTGAAAAGCTCCAGCTATGAACACATGAGGCTTTGGAGGGACATCTAGACACAATCCATAACACTTTCCAATTCTCCTAAATGAATGTAACTATTGTTTTGCAAAGACACTAATTAAAAGAAAAAGTACATTATATCAAAATAGTCACTTGAATCCAGATTACTTAACTTTAACTAATATGCTAGATGAACAGGCAAGTGGATCAAATTTTCTAATGTTCTGATGCTGATACTCACTCGGATATGCTGGAGGTAGAGGGATAGGTCTCGGATAAAAGATTTAATCAATCTTTCTTGCATTCGGAAGGTCTTTTCTGTTTCTTCAAATACCTCATCTTTTATCTGTCCAAAATAAGCATGGGCTGTAAACAAATTTGGACTCTCCTATTTATCCTTATCAGAAACATCTTCCATTTAAATGTGAAACTTTTCATGTTTGCCTGAATCATACTGAATTGAAGTTAGACCCCTTTCAGTGGCTTTGAGAGACTTTCAACACATGGCCCTTCTTCCTCCAAACCATCTTCCCCTCAGCGGTGGACATAAATCCTGTCTCTCATTACGCTTCCCTTTTCATTTCTGGTACTGCCACATCTGCTGACTAGGGCTTTCCCTCCTTCCAGCAAATATGAGGCTCCCATCTCCCTTTAAGGCTCAGATGAACTCTCAGGTCAACAAGAAGCTTGCTTTCATGGAATTCTTGTTTTGCTAAGAAAGACAGTATTCAGGAACAAAGTGTAAAACTAAGCAATTTTCTGGCTTGTATTTTCCACGAATCACTATCTTGGATAACATGATATACAGCAGGAGGATGTAGCTGGAGACCAGGCCTGCTCTCAGCACTGTTACCGAAATGGGTTTCAAGTCACTCGCCTTCCTTTCTTTGTTTCCTTATTTGTAACATAAGGTATCCTTACTAGTGATCCCTTAAATCCCTTCTAGCTTAACATTACAATTTTAGATTTGTCTCCCCAAATGGATTATAAGGGCCTTAGGGGTGCTGAAAACCATAATGACTGTTAAATTTCAACCAACCAGGCCTCCTAGTTTGCTTTTGTATATATTGTAAGCAGCTCACCAAAGCACTAATGTAGGGTTGGGTGGGTGGATTCACATAATCAGTAGCTACAGACCCTTTTCCCACCACTGGCAAGACCAGAAACGGTGCTGAGAGGGCAATTTGCTTGTGAGCTCCAGGCAGCTGCTCTACGGAGCCCTGAAAACCCATCAAAGTCTCACTGAGCCTTGAAGATTAGGGATCTCACCTGAGGGGCAAAGCCAGTGAGGTGCTTCAGGTGACTGCTCACACGGTTGGATTTCTTGATGATGGAGTGAATGTTCAGTTTGGAAATTTTCTCCATAAGGCTATCCTCGTCACCCTTACGGTACTTAAGCACTAGGGAAGGAGTCAAAAGTGGTCAGTTTTTTTCTGAGGCTGAATTACATGAGCTAACAACCTGAAAATACAATTTTTTTCAAAAATAGATATAAAATTAGATTAATAACCCACATTAGAACTAGTACATGCCTTTAATGAGTTCATAGTTAACTAGACAAAATACTAATCCAAATAATCATTTATGAACAGATGCAACACCTAAAGAACAAAAAGAGACTGGGTCAGGAAAAAGAGTAACGGAGGAAACCAGGCAAAGGTGGAGGAGGGGGCCAATCAACGCGAGTCAGAAAAGGTCTGAAGACCGACACTGAGCCTGTCAAATCATCAAGGTATGGCGAGATGGGTCGTTTTACTTCTTTGAGCCCACCTTCCTCAACAGCAATACAGAAAGTAATAGTTTCAAGCCCCATAAGAATCACATATAAATGATTCTTGTATATAAATTACTAGATCCTTCTACCCAATGATTTACACAGTAGAATACTGTACCTTAGTATTTGATTAATTACTGCATGATATTTTAGGCACAGTCTGCAGAAAAGTCTACAGATAATAGCAGAAAAAAAACTGGGTAACAATATACTTTGCTGTTGTCGAGGATGAAGATGACGGACGAGGGGACAGAACCAAGAGAAACAGCCTAATAGCAGAAGCTCTAAAAGCCACAATCAACATTATATCTGAATGTGGATGACATGACTGAAGTAGACAGCAGAGAGAATTATATTATTATTTTTGCAGTTCTGGGTATTATACCCAGGACCTTCCCACTGAGCCACATCCCCAACCCTTTATTATTTTGAAACAGGGTCTTACTAAGTCACTATTATGCATGACACGGCTTGAACTTGTGATTCTTCTGCCTCAGCCTCCCAGCATGCTGGGATTAAAGGCATGCACCACAGTGGCTGGCAAGGGTTTTATCACTGGTGCCTTATTTCCAATATACCCGGGTAGTAATTTCAATATTATTGCTGCCTTTTTCTTCCATATCACATTTGTCCCAAATTTTACTACCATTTTCCATCATAGCCCCATTGCACCTACTGCCTGCCCTGTCCATTTTTGGTAACCTCATTCTTTTGAGCAGACAAGCCTCATAGGGCACATCTCCTTTTTGGCAGTTAGGTTTTTCTTACCCAGATCTTTTCGACGTTTGTATTCATTAATGTTAACGTTGATTTCCTTGACAGCCAGGACTGCATTGGTCAAAGGTACTTTATCTGGGTGGGGTTCCGGGGTGGAATTCAGCAGCTCCATCAGCAGCAGTGGGTAACGCATGACTCTCTGTACAGGTTTGATGAGGAAGGAGCCCAGATTAATGTAATTGGTGCAACCCCTGTAGGAAAAGGCAAAACAAGACTTCAGTCTGCTGTCATTAACAAAGCTCCAGGATACTACTGTTAGTTCTAAACTTAGCTCTGTTCCTTTACAGCTTCATTCATTCATTCAACAAACATAGCCCACACATCACTTAGTGACAGCACCACATTTGAGAAATGAATTACTGTTTTTTTACACATGTAGTTTTATTGTAACAAAGCAACATATACACTTTGAATGTTTAAAACTGCGTATCATCTTTTTCTTTCTGGGGGGGAAAAAGAATTTCAAAATAAACCAACAAAATTACAATTACAATCCAAGTAAAACCTTACAGGTTCTGATTCTTGAGTGGCAGGGCTCAAGTCATCATTAGGAGAAAATTTTATTTTAAAAGTGTCATCTTAAACTGCAAGGATGTCTGTTAACATTACAGTTAAACATGGCAAAGGAGATGCAATGTTGACCAATGCCCGTTTAGCCCACCCAACACCCCAAACCCACCCTTTGCTGACCTTCTACACCCCATTCTTAAAAGTTTTCTAAAATCTTTTTTAACACCAGAGAAAGTAGACAGGTACATGTTGGTAAATGTTAACTGTCCATATGCACACAAAGACACATCTCTGAGTCCAATATGCAGAGAAAGGAGGAAAGAAGCTAGAATTCTATGCAGTCCTGCTCAGAGGCCTCGCACCCTCCAGCTTCCAGCAGAGCGAAGGGAGTGGAGGGTTTTCTTTCTTCCCACAAAGCACAGTGGTGTTGATGCCAAAAAGTCTGTGTGGAGACAGGAGGGCATCAAAACAAATTTAGGACAGAAGGCTGTAGAGATCCTTTTCCCAATGTATTGTGTTCAAGGTTTCTCCCCACAAAGTAAATTGAGACCCATGGAATTTATTTAAAAAGAGAGACCTCAAGAGCAGGGTAACTGAGCACAAGAGGGGAAAAAAGACTGTGACTTGCTCCCAGGGACTAGAGAAATTTAAAAAAAGGGAAGCACGAGAAGGTTGGAATCCATCAGTGTCATCTTCTTCATGCTCCTCTCCTTCCACCCCTTTATCATCTTCGTCTTCTCCCCTTCATCCTCATCCCTTTCCTCATCCCAGTCTTCCATCCTTTATCACCATCATCTTCTTCTCTTCCCCTTCCTCGTCATCCATATCGGGAACCAAGTAGTCCTGCAATGGATTTGGCTAAATATCACCTTTCATGACCTCTCCTAATTCATCTGCGCCTGCATCACAATGGTCAGTAAAGCAGGTGAAAAGGCTGTCAGGTTCTTCACGCTGCCTCTGCCTACTGGCTTTATTCTGTGTTTGAAGTGACCCTTTCAGCAAGTCCACTCCAGATTTTCATTTAAACAACATTCTTGGTCACATGAAATTTCCTGGAAAGAACTTTATTTTCAAAGTAAGGATTTTCATCAAAATAAAAATCTATTCTGTAACCTGATTTTATATCTTCAAATTTTGTCACTTCCACTTTGGTCAAATAATGCAATGCTTCTCTGTCTTCCTCCCCACGCAGTGCAGACATCTGTGGATGGTTAACTAATGTTACCCCAAAATTTGGGATTTTGGCGATCAATGCTGACCTCTTCTGAAAAAATAATTGGCAGGGTTTGTGTTTCTGATCTACGTTCAGTATCTCCTCACTGGCTTGTTAAAAGTCTATTTCATTTTGTACTTCACCAGTATGTTCCTTAGCTTCTTGCTCTTTTTCTGAGATCTCCTTGGCCTATCCTGGTTGGAGCTGAGCTCCTTTTTACTGACTTTGGCCAACGTGGTGCTGCTCCATGGTCTGGGAGCTTGAGCAGGGAGGGAAGGGAAGGCAGGCGCCCACTCTTCTAGGGCTCGTTGGCCCTCCCCTCGCTCTTGCCCGCTCTGCCCTCCAGGCCAGACCACCAGGGAGGGGAGAGGCGGGTGTCGGGAGGGGCTCTGGCTTGAAGAGGGGAGGCAGCGGCTGGTGGATAGGCTCTCTCACTGGAGCTCCGCTCTCGGCTCTGCTCGCTCACCCCAGCCGCTTCCTCGTCCTCCTCCTGAGAAATGCATTATTACTAGGTGATTTTGTTATTGTGTAGACATCACAGAGTACACCAACATAGTCTAAGATGTCTACAAGGTCCCAGGTGATAAGCTTAGGCAGCTACCATTGTAAATAGTCTGTCTCAGTGTTTCATGATTACTGGGCCCTTGACACATACCAGCTACTCTTCTAGGTGCTAGAGATTTAATGGTGACCTAAAATAGTTCTTGCTCTGATGGGGAAAGACAGGCCACAAATAAATATATAAAGTGTCATTTGGTGGTAAGTGGTATGCAAAAAAATTAGAAAGTATGATTGGGTAAGTTTATCTTCTAGGTTTCTGTCTATAATTAAGAAAATAAAGTTGGTCTTTTAAGGACTAGGAAAAATTCACTAAATAAATGAGCCACACGTCAAGTAGCCAACAGACTTACCATTCATTGTATAGGCTCCTATAAGGCAGGGAACAGGAGGGAAAAAAACAGACAGCATATTAGAGAAATGATACGAACATTTTCATTGTCACAGCAGACAACAATCAACTGCATAAAGAAACTTATGGTCTACGGTGACACATCTCATCTACTAAACAGTTATCCACATATCCACTTGTCCACGTATTATACCTATGTAACATGTTTCTCCAAGACCAGAGCCTCTCACCTGATGGTCAGGAGTAATGACCGTATTCTTCTCCCCTGTGCACTTACTTATTTGGAACAGACTACCTTCCTGGCTGCTTCTTACTTAAAAAATGAGGACCTAATATTTCATCTCCACAGATACAAGTGATTTAAATGCACAAAAATACAAACAGAAAGCTTAAGATTTCCATAATACATAATGGGAACAGGGAATATTACATGCCAGGATGCATAACAATCAATCAATCATGTTTAAAATAAGACAGACAGGGCTGGAGCAGTGGCTTAAGCGCCTGCCTGGCAAGCTCAAGGTTTGATCCCCGGTACCAAAAAAGACAGACAAGTGTTTTCGACGATCTATAGACATAAACATGAGATGAAGTCAAAGGACAGACTAAAGAACTCTGATTAAATTAAGTAGGCAAAACTCCTACCTCAGATCTGCCAACGAGTCTTGAAGATGCTTCTGGAACTTTTCATCTTTCTCATAGATTTCCAGCAGGGAAATGGCCTCATCATGATTCTGGCAGTAAACCTTGTATGTTCCCTCAAGGGCATCCCGGTGATCAAGAAACACAGGTCCTTTGGAATCACAAACACACAGAGTTATCGGTAACTTTCTTCTCAGTCTCCTAAATACAAAGTACACGGCCAAACTTTAACATCAGCTAAATCCTTTTTTTTTTTTTTGGGGGGAGGGGGGGTAACCAGGGATTGAACTCACAACCTTGCATTTGCCAAACAGGCACTTGTGCTACTGAGCTAAATCCTTGGCCCACATCAGTTAAATCTTATTACAAGAAACAATAAGGTTATTCATCAAATTAATAAATTTTCATATAATAGCTTAAAGTTAAAACCTTTCAAGTAGAAGAAATCTTTCAAGTAGAGGACTGCATCCAGGTATTCATTTTATCAAAACATAAATACTCACCCCTGCTCCCTAAAACAGAGCCTCCAGCCCTGCTCATTTAGGCAGAGAAAGGCATCTGCAAGAACTGCCATGTGGGCATGTGATCAGAACCAGAAGGGGCCCTTTGCTCTCTACTCAACAGGAAAAGTTGCTCAGGGATGAAGAAATTCTGCTACAGTACAGTTTATTTTTCTTTGTGCATAAATTAAAAACACAAGACTATAAATCCACTTTATTATACTATGATACCCAAACTATGATATAATCACACATGTAATTCTTTTTAAGCTGTTAATTAACAAAATGTATCAATGAACTTGACTATTCCCATATTTTCACAGTACACTGAGTGACCTAAGAAACTGGTAACACTGCTTCTAGTTGAGCGTTACTAAAATTTACCTGCAATAACTTCATGTAATAGGAAATGTGCAATCACCTAATGTAATGTGAACACATGCCTTTAGTTGTGATGAAGTCATAGGTACAAGTGATATTTTGTGGTTTATTTCCTATATTCATATTTTACATGTTAAATTTCAGTTAGAAATTAATAAAAATAAAAATGTAATCTTGTTTTTTCCTCTCCAAGTTCACAGACACCATGAAATGTACTCGTAGACCCACATCTTTAGCCTGCCAGGCACCCAACCCTGGTGTGTAAGCAAACTTCAAAAGCAGTTTCTCTTAGAGTTGCTGTCTGAATGTGCCTGCTCCGGACTTGCTAACATTATTCTCCCTCTTGCCCCTTGCTCCTTCCATCTTCAGCTTGTAGTGCTGCTCCAAAAACCAGAACGAAACCCTCTTGTCCTTACTGCCTTCCTGAAACATAACCCTACTTCCTATTTCTCCTGCAGTGATTCTTTTCTGATTCTCTGAACATAGCTCTCCCTCCAGAACCCCAACCCTTCCTGTGTCACCTCCGCTCACATATTGTGTCTTCAGGAATCCCCCACTCTTGCACAGACCAGTTTCTATGTAAGTTACAGCTTAATTACAGCTCCTTTCTATAAGAGAAACTTGATGTGTTTTTGTAAACCTTACCCCCTGCTGCCCTGTCTCACTGAAAGTCCTACTTCTGAGTCTACTCCGAAACTCAACAATCGCTGTGGGGCTGCTCCTTTTTGATCCTCAGGGCTAATTTGGAATTTCTGAGCCACCAATGTCTTTGTTTTTACAAACTCATATTTTCCTGCCTTTTGTTCTTATATGTTTCTTTCCTATCCTATTTCCTACTAGCAATCTTAGAACTTTCACTACTCAAACCAACTACCATCTACACTCAATTTAGTGTTCTTCAGTCTCCTTGGTCATGACAATTTTATGTCACTGCAAACTAGCATAGCTACACTGCCAGTATCTTCTGAACTGTGGGCACAACCTAAGAAAATGGGTCATGAAATCTACTTCAGGAGTCATGATCAGCCTGTTTTGATGAAATAGAAAATATCAGAAAACACTGAATATAGTAAAATTAAGCACAGACATATACACAAACAACATATCCTGAGCCATTATCTAAAATGTATTTATTTCTAGGGATTATGTTTAAAATAATTTAGAAAACTGCTCAGAGGATACACTGTCGAGAGGACAACTTGAATTATGTGCTGTACTTATGTGCTTAAAAAACTGGATGAAGGATTGGGGATGTATCTTAGTGGTAGAGCATTTGCCTAGCATGTGAAAGGTCATGTTCAATTCTCAGCACCACAAAAATAAAACAAAACAAAAGTAAGCACGAAAGAGGGGGAAATGAGGAAGTAGGGTAGAGAAAACATATGTACTTGCTAGTACATAACACGCTGTCTTCAGAAGAAGACAAGGGCACTAGTAACAATGGTTGCTTCTAGTTGGGAAGAGCTGGTTGAGTAAGGATATAGACCAAGTAGCTTTCCATTAAATGTTTTTTTGTACCTTTCTAATTTTGTGCTATGTAAATGTATTAATATAAGTTAAATTATGAATATATAAAATTATAAATATATATATATATATATATATATATATATATATAACTTTAAGAAAATGTAATCCATGTCCATCTGCCTTTTGCTTGTAGCTTCGTAAGACTTTTAATTTGCCTTGGTTGGCCTTCTCAGCCCCAGCAGTGTGTACAACTAGGATGCCTTCCTTCCTTCAAGTACATCAAACTCCAGCCTACTGTCCCTCTCTGTAAGGTTGAGCCTCTAGACCAAGTTCTGAACCTTTCGGTTCCTAGGATTCTCTGCCACTTTTTCTGCATGTTCTATCAACACATCTCAGCCTGTTCCCTAACTCCTTGTTTGACTTCAGATGAAAAGTGAGATAAGAACAACAACAAAGAAAAATAAGTCATATGTTAGGAGTGTGGCATTACATGGATATTTTGCTTTAATGTCCAATTTTATTGCTGTCATATGTATGGGTAAATACTCTAAAAGACATTACTGTGACTATGAGCTTAATAGTGGTCACCAGGCCCACTTGAAAATTTCCAGGGCTAGGGGCTGGGGATTTAGCTCAGCGTCATAAGCGCCTGCCTTGCAAGCAGGCAGTCGTGAGTTTGATCCCTGGTATCGATAAAAACGAAAAAGACAAAAAAAAAAAAGAATATTTCCAGGGCTGATGCTATCTTAGTGATATGATTGATGTTCCATGTTGTAGACATTCCCAGGAGACAAGACCATGGCAGCACAGATACATGTCACAAACTTGAAAATAAAGCCCACCTTCACAGAGTAGCTTAAACTCCCTTTACACAGGAGACACCTGCCAACTGACCTGGACTGAACACATGTATAAGAAGGAGGAGTAATTTTCCACATTCTGAGATGATGTGGACAGACACCGTCTTGGTGAGCAAGTATCTGAGCCCTGACTACACCTGGCTAGCGCCAGCAGCGTGTTGTAAAAGTGCTGCCAAAACAAACTGCATGGACATCAGCTGGTCTCCAACCTTCATTTTTGACACAAATGGGACTAAAGTCACTTTGGGGAAGATGGCTATCTAAACTTCCCATAAGGTCTCAACATAACAGGTAACAAATATTAAGAATTACAAGGTACTTGTTTATTTATCCCTTTTAGACACCAGCTAACTCTCATTTCTTATAATTTAAGTAAATGATCTACAGTTCTCATTTCAAGCTCCTGAAAAAAATGTTATAAATTGGGCTCTATGCTTCATCACTGTATCAAAGCAGGGCACCCTGACTTTCTAGTCACCTCCATGTGTGCTTCTCTCCACAGTTACCTCCCTGCCTCTCCCACCAATTGCTAGCCACGTGACCTTGGGCAAATTTTCTCCACTCTCAGTCTCAGTTTCCTCATCTATAAAATAAGGTTTAAAGCACCCAAACCTCAAAGGGTTGTTGTAAAGAACAATGGGCCTCTCTAGAGAATGGGTAGTGTATCATACACACTCTAGAAGCATTAACATGATTACACTCCCCTTCATATCCCACAGCCATTTGCCCCTTTTGTTCTTACACCCTTCCTCTCCTGGGTAAGTCATGGGGAGTCTCTGGCCAAAGAAGTGTTTGAAGTGAATGTGAAAAGTGAAGGGACTTTCTGGACAGCAGTTTTAGGTTCCTGGAATGCAAGGTGAGAGCAAAGAGCAGAATCTGCAGGACAAGTCAGCAGAATTAAGAGCAACTTACTCTCAGAGATGTTTGCTTTAGCTGGTGTGTTCCCTCTGCCCTCTGATAAGCTTCTGGCCAACAAGCCTATTGAAACTAGATTAACATACATGACATAGTAGGTCATCCCTTTGTGTCCCTGTACCATGACCAAAATTTATTCACAAGTCTTGCAAGTTTTTCTTCTTCTACATCTTTGACCTCATGTCCTTGAGTTACAGATAAATAATCACCGAAGTCCCTGCTTGCTGCCATTTTCCTGAAACTTTAGAATCAGCCCCTCTGGGTCCTCTCAGTGACTGAACCAAGTCTCATCTCTGAGTAATCTTCACTCTCTATGCTACCACGGTCTCTCACTGTGATGGTAAGTCAGGTAAACGCTACTTAGTCTAAGCCAGTATCACGACCTCATCTCTCTTTCTAGCAAGAACCCAACTGTGAAAAATGAGAAAGAGAAACTGGATGGAGGAGCTCTGGGACAGGTTCACAAACTCTCAAGGGCCAGAAGAGTTACTTTCTTCTGCTGGATTTTGTGTGCAGAGGGATGGCTGAACTTACGGTGCCTCTCCTATGATGGTAGTGAAACAGCAAAATAACAGGATGTCCCCACCCACAGTGCACTGAGAGAGCATGACAGAAGTCACAGTGTTCACTTCCAAGATCACATTGTAAAAGACCCTGCAGCCCCTGTCCCTGGCTTTTGCTAGTTCTCAGCCTACTCCGGGTGTACAATTTACAATTTACTCATGTCATGAGCAGGATCCATGGAGAAGCTCATGTGGCATAGAGCTACACCTGAAGAGCTAAGTGAACTTTCTCGGAAGGGAATCCTTTAGCCCCAAAAGGTGGCTGGCTGGGAGCCCAACTCAGCCTAAAAAGACAAACTCAGTCAGGATACTCCCCAGCCACTTTCAGATTCCTGACCCACAAAGCCCGAAGTTTGCATGGTTATTGTTTTAAACTGCTCAGTTTCATTGAGGTTTGTTGCATAACAATCATGACTAATAAGCTCCCCTGGTTTTAAGAACTAGATTAATGTTCTTCAAACAATTTGGACAATGATCCATATATGTACTTTTCAAAACATGACTTAGAATATAAAATATATACTTAGAATAGAAAATTATTTTAAAAGCAATTATTATTTACAACACATTCCAATACTTTCTATTTTATTAAAAAGTACATATTGGAGCTAGGGATTTAGCTCAGCGGCACAAGTGCCTGCCTGGAAGCACAAGGTCACCAGTTTGATCCCCAGAACAGGGTGGGGTGTGTGTGTGCACAGTAGGTGTGCATCCCCTAATCTCAAGACCCATTAATGGACTGCAACTATGAGTCTGAAAAACATCACACTATGTGACATCTAAAACTTCTACTGTTAACACACTATATCTAAAAGCAGGCTGAGACAGAAGAAGCAGGGATCAAATTAACCTCTAAACCAATAGTCCCGAACTAACCTCAGGATCAGAAGGACCCCTCCCTCCACCCACTAGCACTGAGCAGCTCATACCTACAGAATCGCTGACTTCCAGGGCAGCTAATAATTGCTTCGAGACTTTTATCACCATCTGCATATTTCCAAAAAGTCCTTCAAAATCAATGTTTGGTATCTGAGGAAAAAAACAAAGCATAAAAATGCATGCAAATGCAATCAACATGCATATCCCTGGTACCTGGAATATTTAAGGACTGTACAATACTGCTCAAGGTCAATTTTTTTTTTTAAAACTTACTTTCATCAAATGTCTTCCGTAAAACATCAAACACTATTTTTTTTTGTCTTTGTTTTTTGAGTCAGGGTTTCCACTATGCAGTTCAGGCTGGCCTTGAGCTCACAGCAATCCTCCTGCCTCAGTTCCCGAGTGCTGGGATTACAGGCATGTGCCACCACATCCAGCCCAACACTACCTTTAATGCTACCCTTTGTCCTTGATCAATTATGCTATCATTTAGGTTTAATGTGTTCTCCAAAGGCCCAAGGGTTAAAACTTGATCAAGAGCCTGCAGCACTACTGGGTTGGGCTTACTAGAAGGAAGCGAGGTCACTGGAGGGGTGCCCCTGAAGGGGTACTGGCATCCTAACCTCTTCTCCTTCTCTGTGCTTCCCAGCCACCAAGTGGTAAGTGGTGTGGCTCTACCATGCTCTTTCTGCTATGATGTTCTGCCTTGCCACAAGCCCAAAATAAATACAGCTAGCCAACTGTGGATTGAAATCTCTGAAATCATGGGCCAAAATTAATTTTTTTTCCTTTTAAGCTTATTCTTTCAGATATTTTGTCATAGTAATGGAAAGTTAACTAAATATTTTCTGCTCCTTCCTCTACCACCACCTTCATAAAATTTCTATGAAACCCATATAGTTTGTAATTATAAAATGCAACAGTACTCACAAGCCCTTATTTCAAACCCAGCAATGTTCTGGGTAACAGCTGCTACACTCAGGGCCTAAGTTTTAGCTCAGCTTGCATAAACACCTGCATGGCAAGTACACGGTCTTCGTGAGTTTGATCCCCAGTACCAAAACAAAAACAAAAACTGAAGCTCCCACCTGTGCCTGTTGTAGAGGCACCATGATCCGCTCAATGCACATCTCTAAATCCCGAATGTAGTCTCTTTCTGTCTGCAGAAGTTCTTCTACCACTTTGGTTCTCTTCTCCAGCATCCTCTGCTCTGGGCTTTCGTTGGATATGGACCCAGAAGGGGTCACCAGGGGTGAAGACTGTGAGGAAAGGAGCGTTATTTCTGGAAAAGAAAAGAGAACCAGTCAGCAGCTCTGGGTCTGAAAGCAAAGTTAATAGTCTGAGCCGTAAAAACATTCTTTGAGAAACAAATGTTAGCTATCAGGAAACAAACAGATATGAAGGCTAGCAAATCATTCCTGCAGAGAGACTTCTCCTCTCTGTGCAGTATCAGCTTGAGAGTCTAACCTAAAAAGAAACTGGCTTGCCAACACAGTGTTGCACACCTGTAATCCAAGAACTCTAGGAAGCTGAAGCAGGTGCAAGCACAGAATGGGCAAATTAGTAACTTAGTGAAACCCTGTTTTAAAAACAAGAAAACAAAACAAACAAACAAAAAACATTAAAAAAAAAAAAAAAAGCTAGGGATGTATCTCAGTCCTGGGTTAATTTCCAGTAAACACACCCTCAATACACAGGCACACACACAGTCTCTCTGTCTCTCTGTCTCTGTGTCTCTCTCTCTCTCATCCTTTTTTTTTTCCAGCTAAAGTTTCACCAAGTAGCCCAGGCTGGCCTTGAATCTGCAGCAATCCTCCTGCCTCATCCTCCTCACTGTTGAGATTACAGGTGTGCACATGTAATCTCATCTCATGCTCATCTTAAACTGGCTCATTTTTAAGAGAATGAATCAGTACTTTATCTACAAGTTCCTTGCACAAGGGGCTAAAAGAGGTAGGTTCTTATCAAGAATTGTTTTCACTTTGTAGTCTCGTGTGGTGTGTGATGTGTATCTTCAATCCCAGCACTCAGAAGACTGAGGCAGGAGTACTGCATGGGCTACACTGTGAGTTTAAGGCCAGCCTGCTCTAAATTCTATTCCCCTTCAGCAGCAGAATGCAAAGCTAGAAAATAAAAAAATTGACACAGCACATTAAAATGAAAACATATATTATGTGGACACAAAATACTGCCAACTTGCTAGGGGAAGACAAGAATTAGGAATCATCTATCTGAGATCTGAGTGATGGCAGGTCTATCATTTTCTAGTCACTGTGATGGTTAGGTCTATAAAATCTGACTTTAGAGTCTTCCTATCAAAACACGACTCACAGGAGATTTTTTTACTTCACATGTCCTAGGAGACAGATAACACAATATAAAGTTCTTCAATTAAAGGAAACTCTGTAGAAGTAGACTGCACAGTTCTAAAAACAAATACAAATATGTATCTTGTCATCAGCTTTTCCAATTATCTGTTACATGTGCAGGATGAAAGAATTATTTATAAAGATGGGACAGAATTTGATCATTTAAAATGAACGCTAAATACTAAAAAAAAAAATTGAAGAAAAATTCAGTGGTGAGACAAGGAACCTCTGTAATACTAGTTTCCTTCAAATCTCTTAAGACCTAAGCATAATTACGAGAAAAAACACAAACATAGGGCCAGGGATTTAGCTCAAGGACACAAGCAGCTGCCTGGCAAGCAGAAGGCTGGGAGTTCGATCCCTAGTACTACAAAACAAATAAATAAATTAATTAATTAAAAAACACAAGTGTTCAAAGTACTACGGAGAGCTAATTTTTCACAACAGATTTTATTCTCCAAAAATATTCCCTCATGGCTCCTTCTCTGAGGATTTAGGAATTTTTTCAGTGTTTAAAAAAAGAATGCAATCAAGATACTGGTTTCTAGAGACACTTCACTAAAAGGAAGCAGTCTTTGGAAATGGCTGATCTCAGGGCTGGGGCAGGGCAGATGACAGGTGGAGCTGAAACATCTTGCGGAAGAAAGCTAGATATCCTCAGCCTGCCAGGGAGCGACAGACAGTACTGGTCGGATTGCGCACAGCCTGAGTGCCAATGTGCATTCAAGTAAACATAGCAAGGTCTTATAATTCGCTGAATAAAGTAAGAATCCATATAAATTCCTACTCATAATACATAGATGAATAAATAAACGAGTAGAAAAGGTTCTTCCTATGACAGAATATCAACTCAAATATTGGAAGAAAATAATGGAGTTAGAAAATAACCATTTTGCAATTAGAGTAACATTTGATTCTGGTACAAATATCATTTGATAATTTCTGTGTTACTGGGGGAGTGGATGGTGATTAGTATATATATGGTTTTGGATTACTTATTTCAAAGATAAAAAAATAGTGACTATGAATATACTATAGCTGGGGATACAGCTCAGCAGCATAAGCGTCTGCCTGGCAAAGTGCAAGGTCCCAGGTTCAATTCCCAGTACCAAAAAACAAACAACAAAAAAGATGGCATCTCCTGAACATACTAGGGAAATGAATGACACTATGACCCAGAAATCAGCACTACTAAGGGACAAACATAATGAACCTCCATATATCATGTCTCAAAACTATACAATATCCCTTATACAGTACACAAGTCATGAATGTGTAATTTAAAATGAATCTTGGTTTTTTGGGTTTTTTGTTTGAGGCAGGGTCTTGCTGTGCAGCCCAAGGTGGCTTTGAACTCAAGAAATTCTCCTGCCCCAGTCATTCAAGGGTTACCACTTAAAATGATTTTTTTTTAAGTGAATCTTGAGGAAACCCCAAACTCAAATTGAGTGTTTATATACTTCAAAATGTTACTTTCATAAAATACACAACATATACATAAATATAATCAAAAGCAGATAAAATATAACCAAAAGTTAGATATAACCAAAGCAATAACAACTAAATGTTTATTGTCATCCGGTCTAGACCTCAATTTGGAGGAAAAAATTGCTACAAAATACACAACTAGGGCAATTGATAAAACTAGAATAAAGTCTGAAGATTAGCTTAAATGATTATAAATCAAATTTGGATTTCCTGAAATGGCAAAATCTTGAGGACTGTCATGTAAGAGAGGATACATGTTCATGCAGAATACACATTGGTGAGCTATTACAGAAGCGGCCTTGCACATGCAAGGCCCTGGGTTTAATCCTCAGAATCACTAAATATTTACTAAAGTGTACAAGGTACTCTCAGAGAACTGAGAGAGGCAAAAACAAAACAACAAAAGCCCCGGGGCTGAGGATTTAGCTCAGTGGCGTAAGTACCTGCCTTGCAACCAGGCAGTCGTGAGTTCGATCCCCGGTACTGATAAAAAGAAAAAAAAAAAAACCCCACAAAAGCCCCTAAAACAAAACTATAAAGAATGAAAACAAAAACACTGCAAAATATTAAATGATGGTAAGTTGAAGGGTATATAGGTGGTTCTGTGTACTTTGGCAATTTTGTGTAAATGTGGTGTAATCCAAAACAAAGTTTGAAAAGGCATAATGAAAAAATATCTTTCATGAACCTTTTGGTAATACAAGTTACAAACCTTCATATATAACTGTCATCTCACTACAGTACTAAATTATGATTCTAAATTAATTGTAACATATACACAATTTATGTATTGCAGTGCTAGGGTTGGAACCCAGGGCTTCCCCCATGCTAGACAAGCACTCTACCGCTGAATTACAACCCCTAACCCTGCAAATCTATTTTTAATAACTAGCTTTAAAATACATCTACGATTTCAAAGCAACGAGTTCTTAGTCTCAAATATGGTCTCATCAGTGTCAAGTTAAGAAACTCATTTTTCCTATAAGACTAGAAAATGTTGGAAAAGGAGAACATTTACTGAACGCCCACCACACGTGAGATATTTAGGACTATATCCTCAAGCTCACTGAATATTTACACCAGAGCTTGAAAGCATCCATATGTTAGAAACTCATTCTCTAAGAGGCAGACCAGCTGAGGTTACACAGCAAGTAATGGCAGTTATAGAATTACAACCCAAATATATTTAGATCCAAATCTTTTGTACTTAATCCTGCATCATCTTGCTTCTGTACCCTAGAATCTCTACTACAAAAGGTAGCAATTTATTTGCTTCAAACCTTAAACATTTCCAGACAAATATTTACTCCCCAAAATCAAAGTTAATTAATTACAGTAGCCGAAAACACAAAATATCAGCAAGCACTTGTTCATCAAGCAGAAGTCTTCATGAAAAGACAGAAATTTTTATATTACAATAATAAATAAGTAACAATTCTTCCCAAACTGCCAACTTTTTTGTTTTGAAGACAGGACTTATAAACTCTTGAATAGTCTTTAAAAGCTTTAAAATACAAACCTCAAATCCCTGTGGAATATTTTCCCTGAATACCAACCCTGAGAATCTGATTTCTTTAAATTAGATCCTATTTGAAGGACCTGTATATCTGCAATTTTAACAAAACCCTAGGTATTTATGAAAAGGCCTGATCTTCAGACTCCATAAATATAACACTTCAGAGTGAGTTTTCAAATACAGTATTAGAGAAAAAAAAAAAAAATATATATATATATATATATATATATTTATGGCTGAGATGTAGAACTTTTTTACATACATGCTAAGAAAAAAGTCTGATCTAAAACTTTGGTAGGTTGGGGGTGGAACGCAGAGGTACAGCGTTTACCCAGTGTGCATGTGTGTGGGTTCCATCCCTAGTACGGCAAATAAATAAGCAAATAAAACCGGAGAATCTGGGACAAGCAAGTGAGAGAAAGTGGCCTTCACCCTCATCAGTGACCGTGGGAACAGGCTCTGAATCATGCACTTCCTCACTACTTAGCTGGGAAGCCCTGGAAAAGTTCACCTCTGGGCCTCAATTTCCTCTTGTATAAAATGCAGAGTGATTGTGGAAATTAAGCAAGGTAATAACTTGGTAATAACTCAATAAAAGGTAAGACTTTTTCCCACAATGTGCCAGAAATTGCCGTCTGCACCATCCTAAGGCAAAATGCAGCACACAGAAACAAGCCCTGTGAAGAGTCTCTAAAGTTCTGTGAGAGTAGTAAGATCTGGGGATAAGTAAGCACAGAGAGGAAACTAAGGCCAAGAATCGGCCATCCACAAAACGTGCACACCTTCCTGGGACGGTCCCGCAGGAATTAGGGAACTGGGCGAACTGTAGGAATTTACTATCCATACAAAACAATTCGCTGTGAGAGTTTTGGGTGCCGTGGATCGCCACCGCCCCTCCTCCAGCTGCCC